AGTCAGACACACATGCCCTGTGAACTGATGAAGTCAGACACACATGCCCTGTGAGCTGATGAAGTCAGACACATATGCCCTGTGAACTGATGAAGTTAGACACACATGCCCTGTGAGCTGATGAAGTCAGACACACATGCCCTGTGAGCTGATGAAGTCAGACACACATGCCCTGTGAACTGATGAAGTCAGACACACATGCCCTGTGAGCTGATGAAGTCAGACACATATGCCCTGTGAACTGATGAGGTCAGACACACATGCCCTGTGAGCTGATGTAGTCAGACACACATGCCCTGTGAGCTGATGAAGTCAGACACACATGCCCTGTGAACTGAAGAAGTCAGACACACATGCCCTGTGAACTGAAGAAGTCAGGTCAGACACATATGCCCTGTGAACTGATGAAGTCAGACACACATGCCCTGTGAACTGATGAAATCAGACACACATGTCTTGTGAACTGATGAGGTCAGAGACACATGCCCTGTGAGCTTTTGAGGTCAGACACATATGCCCTGTGATTTGATGTGTACGACTAGAGTGATGCTCTTCTCCAAAGAAAAACACAGAATAAAAGCCAAAAACATGTATGAAACATTTCTTGACACAAAATTAGTGAAAACAACTATCTGGCACCACGATTCTTAAATGATCGCCTTGGTAAGAGTTCATGATGTCACTGGGACATAATGAGTTGAAGCAAATATAAAATACTGCAACATATCAGTCATAAAATTGGTTAACACCTGGACAACAGAAGTAACTCTTTACACACTCTCTGACCACACCACGTAACTTAATCAAGTTGAACACTGTGCAGTTATTTATTTATACATACATAAAGTAACCAGTTTAACATTAAAGATGATTTGTTTTATGTAGAAAGAGCCATTATAATTACAGTTTTGAGTCCAGATAGGAACAGTTATTTATGATAAGGTGTGGTATATGATAGAAAAGGCACTAGCTGTATATAAACTTCACAAAAACAAGAACAATGAAAGACAATCAAATCTGACATCTTGCAACAATGAACATATTTTTGCAATGGACGATTCCTGCTGGATGTGAATTTGGGTTTCACTGGAATGCTTGTGATAAATTTCCAATCTGACCAGAGCAAATATCGAGCAGCATGAAATGTCACATCACTCATTCATTATCCTGTTGTTCCATTTTATGTCACGTAGGGCTCACAGTCTGTTCCTCCATTCTGTTCTATCCTGTGTGATCAGTTACATATCATGGATGAAATCCAGTCCAGCAGCTTTGGCCTCTCTCATCCACATTCGTCTTAGGGTTTCTCTTGGGTGCCCTAGCCTCCTTAATCCCTTTATTTCCAATTTTAACGTCTGTATGGTGATTGTCTGCTCGTTTCTTCTTAGGATGTGTCAAATGTAGCCTGGTCTTTTAAGTCTTATAACTGTTGATACTAGTGGTTGCCCAGTTATTTCTCTTATTTCTTCACTCCTTTTGAATTCATCCCATTTTATTTTCATCATTATACTCAGAACTTTTGTTTTCAAATGAATTTGATTTTTGTTCCATGTCTTAAGACATTCTCTAACTTACACCTGCATATGTTCAAGTTGAAACAACATTGGAATTGAAAAATATGTAGAATGGTTTTAAAACTATACAATTTAGATTTCCATATTTTGTTCAAGCTATAAAAAGCTGTCGGCGTCTGTGGCTTAGGCATTGCGAACACGCTTCTAAATGCCAGTGTGCTAGGTTTGATCCCAGCTGCAGGCCTTGCGTCTTACGTTGGTTTCGACAATGGTATCGAGAAGCCAACCATCCAGCAATGGCAAACTACTGGACATAAATTTGCCTTGAAAAAGCACAACAGCCAAGTGGAAGTTGATTCTGCAATATCCTGTAAAGGATACGTAGCTAACTTCACTTATTAAAAGCCGCTGATGACTTGCCAGTATGTGTCATTCCTTTATTTGTTTTTGCTTCACTATCAAAATTACTACCTAAAAAAGTAAATTGATCTGACTCAAATCACTTTTGTCTCTCCTGTTACCTCTGCTTGATCTGTTGTTGGTGTCTTCAGTATTTCTCCTACCTGGGTGGATTTTGTTGGCTGTGCCATAGTTGTAACATTCCAAAAACCTATTCTAGTGATTATTAAAATTTAATAATCAGCCATCCATTTGTGTGATGTCCTAGTGGGGTAAAATATACTACTACTACTATTACTAATTCTAGTGATTATTTTTCGTTCATGTAGTATGCCTGTCTGGGCACTGACTTCCACACAGAACATAATACAGTTAATTAGGTTCAGGTTTAGACGACGGATCAACATCATGGCACAAGGGCAGTAACCCATAAGTGCTCTGTGTCTAGTGTAACCTCTTTTCTATCCTTGCTTCTATTTCTGCACATCCTGATCAATACCTGCCTATTATCTCCCCTCCACTAATGGAAAACTGAATGTTCTGAAAAATATGCAGATGAGAAGTGGAACTAGTCTGCTTTACAGTACCACAATTACAAATGACAAAATTATTGTTGCAACTAAAAAGTCTTCATCAGCATATAAAACAAAATGGATAAGGATAAAATTACATGCATCAATATATAAATTCACTAAGATATAATTGAATCTCTATAACTCACCTGAACAATAAAAAAGTAAAGTTGGGAGATGTGAACCAGCATCTTTGCACACGGTTATAAACTATAAGTGCTCTGCTACCATACGGACAGCTGATAAGAAACTGTCCACCAGTGCCGCCGTCTGCACGAAACTCCGTAGCTACAGCGGCGTTCCTCCATTTACTCTAGAGTGTTAACTCCGGTACCCATTTCCTTGAGGCTGGGTGAACCCTGGGAACTGCCTGGTTTTGAACACTGGCCGTGGGCTGCAGCTGGATTTGAAAGCAAGCCTCCTATCAACTGCGTTAACGCAGCCCTCTGAACAATAAAAACATCAGTGCACAAATGTAGTCAGTTACAGGGCAGGATCAGAATAACTATGCCTGTGGGTGCATGCCTAATCAACCCCCACCCCACCACTGACATATCTGATACTTATTTACGAGGGTGGATGGCCGAAGCAAACTGATGCCTGGATCTGCTGTGTGTGGTGCTGCCTCAGTCTGGACCCACCTAGACAATGCAGTGCCCTTCTAGGTGTTAAATGACACCGAAATGAGGTTTGCTCTCCTGACTTGCCAGGGTTTCATAGTCTCTCTGTTGAGGACAAAAGCTGGAAGCTGAGAGAGAGAGTTAACCACATATCACAGAAGCTGGAAAATGAGAGAGTTAACCACATATCACAGAAGCTGGAAAATGAGAGAGAGAGAGTTTACCACATATCACTGAAGCTGGAAACTGAGAGAAAACCACATATCACAGAAGCTGGAAAATGAGAGAGTTAACCACATATCACAGAAGCTGGAAAATGAGAGAGAGAGAGTTTATTACATATCACTGAAGCTGGAAACTGAGAGAAAACCACATATCACAGAAGCTAGAAACTGAGAGAGAGAGACAGCAATTCCTCATGATGATGGTAGACATTCAGAATTGAAACCTCAACACTTTGGTGACAAAATGGTTAAATAAGAGTGATGCTAACTATCATAATGAAGGCCATCTGTATTTGCTACATCAATATGAAACAGTTTACATCACAACTTTATGAAGTTGGATTGATCCAGGATCCATCCTGAAATTATTAGAGCAAACATCCTGATGGAGGTGGACCGACTAGGAGCCATCCTGAAGAGTTTATAGCACAACAATTTCATGGAGGTGGACTGACCCAGGACCCATCCTTAAGGATTTACAACACAACATCCTGAATGAGATCGATTGACCCAGCCCCCATCCTGATGGGTTTATAGCACACCAACTTCATGGAGGTGTATTGACCCAGCTCCCATCCTGATGGGTTTATAGCACACCAAATTAATGGAGGTGTATTGACCCAGCTCCCATCCTGATGGGTTTATAGCGCACCAACATCATGGAGGTGTATTGACCCAGCTCCCATCCTGATGGGTTTATAGCGCACCAACTTCATGGAGGTGTATTGACCCAGCTCCCATCCTGATGGGTTTATAGCACACCAAATTAATGGAGGTGTATTGACCCAGCTCCCATCCTGATGGGTTTATAGCGCACCAACATCATGGAGGTGTATTGACCCAGCTCCCATCCTGATGGGTTTATAGCGCACCAACTTCATGGAGGTGTATTGACCCAGCTCCCATCCTGATGGGTTTATAGCACACCAAATTAATGGAGGTGTATTGACCCAGCTCCCATCCTGATGGGTTTATAGCACACCAAATTAATGGAGGTGTATTGACCCAGCTCCCATCCTGATGGGTTTATAGCGCACCAACTTCATGGAGGTGGACTGACCCAGGACCCATTTACAGGGCTACAGCTTGACTGAACCAGGATCTATCTTGGTTGGCAAAAATGTGACCACTTGTATTTATACGCCTTCTGACACAGATCTACATTGCTGGTAGAAATGTCTGTGAACTATTCACATCTCTTAATAAAATTATCTCAGCAAAAGGAAAATGTAGATGGACAATGTCAGAGAACAAAATATATTCCAGCAAACACATCCAGATAATTACTACAGGAAATACATTATATATAATTATTTTTATTCAAAGGTAGACATCTTTGACAGTTTTCTCCATTCACTATTTTATCTCAGTCTATTGTGATTTGGATATGGAAATGTTCTGTCAGGTCAAAGTACATTTACATAAGCATACATCCCACAATTATTATGGCAAAAATCAAGCAACTGAATCAAACAGGCAAGTCTGATCTCCCCCAATGGCTGGGAAGCTAACAATTTTCTGTAAAACTTTCTTGGGTAAAAATTAACGAGCTAGCCCATAAAATGCATTAAAATTTGTAAACCATATTATGTATCAGAAATTATAAATATACTAAAAATACAAGTTACTATAAAAGGTTTCATTAAGTAACATCAACCCCACGTTTCATATTCACAACTCACTCTGAATTCTCTGTTCCAAACTTCGAAGTTCATCCATGACCTCTTGGGGAAGGTCTTCATTGACCTGCTCATCAAAATATTTATAAATGGCATTGACCTCATTTTCCCAGAAGTCTCTGGGCAGAGTGAAGAGTGCTTCCAGATCAACTTGTTCTGGTAGCCCCTCCAAGTTCAAAGAGTCAAATTTGGGCAGCAAACCGATTGCTGATTTCCTGGCAATGTCTTCATTGTCACACCTGCGGAAAACCCAGTCTAGAACTCTAGAATTTTCTCCAAAACCTGGCCACAGGAAGTTGTTGTTCGGCCCCTTTCTAAACCAGTTCACATGGAAGATCTTTGGCAGCACCAAATTGTCCTGCTTCCCAAAACTCAACCAGTGCTTCAGGTAGTCGCCAAAGTTGTAGCCGAAGAATGGCCGCATGGCGAATGGGTCGTGCATGATCTGCTTGGCTGTGAAATAATAGAAGGGAAAACCTATCATGAACATCTTACATTAAATTAATAAAAATGTATTGAATGTTTAATTACATGATCCATCAACTGGCCAACTGCTCTATAGAAATATCCGTGTAGCCTCAGACCCAGAGTGCAAGCGGCATAGAAAGGACTATTACCATTTTACTTAGTTTAATGTTTAGTTATATTTAATTATTATTTATACCATTATCATCATCACGTGCCATGCTGACAATCATGTGGTCATAGTTTGCCATCTGTACATATCATCGAATCAGGTCTGTGTTCTAGTCTTGATCTTCTTCGCGTTCACCGGCTGTAAAATCCGGTGGAAAGTTCTGGGTGTTCGTCCATCTCTAGACTTTAGTCTTGCTCCAGAACCTGAGTGTTGCAGGCACATCTGTTTCACAGATCTGGCTTATTTGTATGCAGACTTGTGGTTCCTTGCCTCTCAGGTAGATGTACTCCGACTTTGAAGAATGTCCTCAATCAGTCATCTCCTATGACATGTTTGTTAGGGAGGCAGTGTCCCTATTCTTGTTTTCCTCACAATGAGACCCTGGAACCCATGGGGGGATCTGGTCTTGATAAAGACAACCTCATAACTTCTGACCAGTCCATGAAGCATTTTAAACATGTGATGCTAGCCCAAATCTGTATAGACCAGTCGTCACTCGACGGGTCTGCTGGATGTAAAGGAAAATCTGTTCTCGTTGTTTTCGGATAGTGGTACGAGAATTGTGCCATAAAAGAGGTTGGAGCCTCATCATATCATATCCCCAAGGACAACAATGGTACATCTAGTTTAACAGTTTAACTCTTTAAGGCCCAAACAACGGTGTGAGCGTAGTTTGAGAAGTTCCGTTCTGCCCAAACAACAGTGTCATCGTTAATCGTGTATCTCTTACATTTTGCTTCGCATGCGCGTTCGTACTAATTTCTAATGTTTGGAGGTACGAATAACCTATTCAGGGAAAGTCACTCTACGGAAATCCTTTTAGTTTCACTTCTTGGACTAAAACACACGTTGATAATTTGAGAGAAAAAAACATCAATTTTTTTTTAACAGTTTTTTTTCTAAGTTCGTTTTTGAGTGCACTGAATACCAATGGTCTAACCACAAGAACAGGTCGCAGAATGCGTCTTTCTGCGGCCGAAGCTCTGAAATTGTTTCAGTCAGATGTTTTTAATTGTGAAAATGATAATAAAAATTTAGATTTTTCGGAAAGTGATTCAGACAGTGAATTTTCACCAGTGAAGCTGAGCGATCAGCTGTTCGGAATCTAGCGATACTGACGAGTTTATTACACAGACAATGTCCCATACTACCGTATTTATGGTGTAAGAGAAGGAAAGTGCTCTAAACAAAGAGATAGTACTATACTATGGCTAAGCTACATTGAAATCATCGCAGCTAAAGTCTGTAAATAACTGTACAAAGTGAATAGTAAATAGTGTGTGTGTTATGGCTCATTTTTCTGCCATTTTTTCTCTGAAATTTTGCTTAGCACTCGGTGGGAACTAAGAGCCCATGAGTGATAAACTAACCCAGAAAGTTATCATAACTTTAGAATATGTTAGGACATTGAACAAACTTTGAAGTTTTGTTCTCAAATTTGGATATTTACTATTCTTGTGGCTGCAAAACCATGGTAAGTGAAGAATTTTTGTGTGAAATGTTGTCCTTGTGAAATTAACACCTGCTGAATTCTTCTTTTCCACTAACTATAACAAAATTAAACAAACACTTATCATCAGATTCAGAATGTACACTCATTTCTCGTTTAAAAAATATATACTGTTATAGGGATTAGAAGTATATTACAGTCTCTACAGCCTTTCTTGTACACCCACCCCTCTGCCATTTTTGTAAAGGGAAATTAATGTGGGCCAAGTCTGTCAAAATTCATGGGCCTGAAAGAGTTAACATGTGACCATCTGATCAAACATGAAGCTTTTTTCTTGCACTAAATTTAGACTGGGTTAACCTGGGATCTTAGGTCTTTTCTTTTAAATATTTTTTTTCATCTTCTCGATGGAGATTCAAACACTTGGCAAGCAGATTAGCCACTACACAAATATGGCTCCCAAAACAGACTAAACACAAAAATTTAAAATTCTATTTTATCTTTACAATGAAGGTTGGCTACAGTGTACCACTGTAGTCCTTGGGAAATGATGTCATGAGGCCCCAATCTCTTCCACTGACCGTAAACCACGAAAACGGGTCTTCTTTTACATCCACCAGACTAAAACAGACCAATCAGGCTAAAAATGACATTCATAAACAGACTGACAAAGTATGGACAATCTGGTCAATGAAACAAGTGATTACAGACAACCAGAGATTGGGATGTTGCAAAAACAAGCAAAGACATTTATTTACTTTTATGTTCGGCAGCTGCAGTTGACTCAGATCTCATGGATGCCCCAATGAAGACTCCATGCTGCCAGTCAAATGCCTCAAACACAAGAGGTACTCCAGAGGGTCGGCGACCTCCAAAAATAAGTGCATCAATGGGTACTCCCTCAGGATCCTCCCAAGCCGGGTCCATGATTGGACATTGAGAAGCTGGTACACAGAACCTGTAGCAACGTTTCAGAAAATAAATAAGAAAATATGTGTCAGAGAAGAAAAAAAGGAACAGTACAATAAAAATAAACATATATTTAAATAGCACTGCAATGGTTGTGACGTAAAGAGAGAATAGTAGATAACAGAGGAGACCAAACAAGAACCCAGAAAAGAGCTGAATGGAAGTAGAAAATGAGGCAGACCAATAAGACAGTGGAGAGATAATATACATGGAGATCTATAAACACTCTGATCCCCAACTAGTAAGAGAAGGCCATCCTGAGAGATGAATGAAAGCAGGTGTTATCTACAGCAAAGCACCTCAAGGGCTTGTAATAATAAAGAAGAAAACAAAAAAACCCTGCCATTTGGATTAAGGAACTGGTAATGATGCTTCCATTCTGGTTGTAAGCACCACTCTCACGTATGAGAGAACAGTTTGCTGTACCAGGATTTCACCTCCTTTAGTATAATCTTACACTGCAGAGTGGCTGGTGATTTGCAAGACAAAGAACAAACTGTATAGTTCTAGTGACAACCACAAGGGATCTATGAAACACCTCCACCCACACACTCACCATGGAACGCCAACACACACACACTCACCATGGAACGCCCACACACACACACTTACTAAGAAACAGCTGCCCCCCCTCCCCCAATCATTTTTCTTTTCCCTCATCTATTTTTTTTCTATTTTATAATATAAAGAACTTCTTGCTCAATGAATCCTTGTCTGTTAACAGCGTGCAATGTACCTAAAGACAAAATGTACAGAAATATAAAATTCATCATATAGCAGGTTCTTTGCAGAATATCTTTCTCTCTGAACCTCACCAGAAAGATCATTTGTTGCCAGTACTCTTGTCTCATTCATTTTCCTTCTGAGGGTGTCTTTTATGTCTTGTCTCATTCATTATGTTGGCAATGCCATATTTCTGAGGGTGTCTTTAATGTCCTGTCTCATCTTTATGTTGGCAATGCCATATTTCTAAATGAGCATCTTGACCTCTGATCACATCTATGGACTCAATAATTAGTTGAACCATCCTTCCATTTAAGATTTGGTGATATTTGTTACTGCGTTTCCAAAACATAATTTTTTAATCCACAATTTTTTAAAAAATCTTACTGCAGGTCTGGGCTCAAAAATACAGAATTTATATTATAATGATAAAATTATGTATTTTGCTAAAAAAAAAAAAAAAAAAAACAAGAGATAGAACAAAGAGACAAATACCAGATAGGTTGGCCACATGGGACAATCAAGACAAGAATACAGGCCTGATATGATACCCAGAGTTGTCAGCACATCTCATGATAATAAGATAATAATGAAGAAGAACATTCTGGTACAGTATGAGAAGAAACTCACCTGGAGCCACACCAAAGAAGCCAGCTTCTGGATTGATTGCACGGAGACGACCTCTCTGATCAAACCTCATCCATGCGATGTCATCACCCACACAAGTGACCTTGTACTTGCTCAGGGAAGGTTGCAGCATTGCCAGATTGGTTTTCCCACAAGCACTGGGAAATGCAGCAGCGATATATTTCTTGACGCCAGTTTCCTTGTTCTCAATGCCCAGAATCTACAAAAATAGAAATTTAATAAAAATTCACTAAACATCATTCACTCACTTGCCAGCATGTAGGTCGTGGTTCTAATCCCCATTAAACACTCAGAAAGCATGTTGAGAAAGATCAGGACAGGCATGCTTCGTGCAGAGTGGCATGCCTCTCTGCACAACTTGGTGGAATACTGATGCATGATAAGGCAGACGTGGTTTGTGCCTTGTGGGAGAGCGTGTACAACTTGGTGGAATACTGATGTATGATAAGGCAGACGTGGTTTGTGCCTTGTGGGAGAGCGTGTACAACTTGGTGGAATACTGATGCATGATAAGGCAGACGTGGTTTGTGCCTTGTGGGAGAGCGTGTACAACTTGGTGGAATACTGATGCATGATAAGGCAGACATGGTTTGTGCCTTGTGGGAGAGCGTGTACAACTTGGTGGAATACTGATGCATGATAAGGCAGACGTGGTTTGTGCCTTGTGGGAGAGCGTGTACAACTTGGTGGAATACTGATGCATGATAAGGCAGACGTGGTTTGTGCCTTGTGGGAGAGCGTACACAGTTCGGAGGAGCAGATGGATCACCACAGTCTGGTGAGATTGATGCATGGGGAAGTGACGAGAGGTTCTGGCAGATGCTCGAGGCTCAGACGAAAGGCAAGACGGACGTTTAATCAGAATGCTACTGGCACCATTAGTATTGAAACTCTTCGCTGGCTGCTGAAGATGGGGATGGAGCACTTATGGAAATGGAAACTTATAAAAATTACCTCAAGCATGTAGGCCTACCCAAAATTGGGTTGGGAGTATTCTAGGCGGTAAACAAGACCAGTGTAGCACTGACCACATCCCACATTGTGATGTTTCCCTCACTATTCTCATTTCTGATCTTGCCTGCTTATTCATAAATTTGTACACTGGACACTGAAGTTGGGATGTGCCAGGTAAAGTTCATACCAATTCAGATCTCCTCAAATTTACGTAAAGACCCTGGGTGGACATTCATCATCATGCAGTAGTAAAAGAAACAGCAACATAAACAGAAGTGATAATTTCAGTAGTGATAGAAACAGCAACAGAAACAGAGGTAACAATTGTAGTAGTAACAGAAACAGAAGTAATAATTGCAGTAGTAATAGAAACTGTAACAGAAACAGAAGTAATAATTGCAGTAGTAATAGAAACAGAAACAGAAGCAATAACTGCAGGAGTAATAAAAACAGAAGTAATAATTGCAGAAGCAAAAGAAACAGCAACAGAAATAGCAACAGAAACAGAAGTAATAATTGCAGTAGTAAAAGAAACAGCAACAGAAACAAAAATAATAGTTTCAGTAGTAACAGAAACAGAAACAGAAGTGATAATTGCAGAAGCAAAAGAAACAGCAACAGAAACAGAAGTAATAATTGCAGCAGCAATAGAAACAGTAACAGAAACAGAAATAATAATTGCAGTAGCAATAGAAACAGCAACAGAAACAGAAGTAATAATTGCAGTAGCAATAGAAACAGCATCAGAAACAGAAGTAATAATTGCAGTAGTAATAGAAACAGTAACAGAAACAGAAGTAATAATTGCAGTAGCAATAGAAACAGGAACAGAAAAAGAAGTAATAATAGCAGTAGCAATAGAAACAGAAACAGAAGTAATAATTGCAGTAGTAATAGAAACAGCAACAGAAACAGAATTAATAATTGCAGTAGCAATAGAAACAGCAACAGAAACAGAAGTAATAATTGCAGTAGTAAAGGAAACAGCAACAGAAACACAAGTAATAATTGCAGTAGTAATAGAAACAGCAACGGAAACAGAAGTAATAATTGCAGTAGTAATAGAAACAGCAACAGAAACAGAAGTATTAATTGCAGTAGCAATAGGAACAGAAACAGAAGTTATAATTGCAGTAGTAATAGAAACAGCAACAGAAACAGAAGTAATAATTGCAGTAGCAATAGAAACAGCAACAGAAACAGAAGTAATAATCACAGTAGTAAAAGAAACAGTAAACAGTGATTACCAACTGTGTTAGCTGTGGCTACAATACTGCAGGTAGCAGCAGAGGAAGTAGCAGGAATTTCTCAAAGCAAAGTAAAATCTCTTAGTGAAAACATAGAGACAACAATATAAAATAGCAACCATCAACAAACACAGACCTCCCAAGCTGTACTGATGAAACTCTTACCAGCATGTGTTCGGCCAGCCAGCCTTCGCGATGTCCGAGGATGGAGCCGATACGAAGAGCGAAGCATTTCTTACCCAGGAGAGAGTTGCCTCCATAGCCACTGCCGAAAGAGCAGATCTCATTTCTCTCTGGGAGGTGGGCAATCAGTGTCATCTTAGGGTAGCAGGGCCAGTTGTTGTGAAGGGGAGCTGGGGACAGGGCAGAGGCCAGGTTTTCATGACAGTGGAAGTGTTGGGAAATTGATGGAGTCAGACTGAACATAGACTGGATATAGGCTTGATACAGACTGGATAGTCACTGGATATAGGCTTGACATAGACTGGATATAGGTATAACATAGATCGTATATAGTCTTGACATTGATATAGGTTAAACTTAGACTGAATACAGGTTTGACACAGATTGGATATAGGCTTGACACAGACTGGATATAGTCTTGACACAGACTGGATATAGTCTTGACACAGACTGGATATAAGCTTGAGCCTTGACTGGTTACAGACTGGATATAGGCTTAACAGACTGGATACAGACTGGATATAGACTTGACATGGACTAGATATAGATTGGAAATAGGTTTGACACAGACTGGAAACAGACTGGAAATAGGCTTGACACAAACTGGACATATGCTTGACACAGACTGAATATAGATTGGAAATAGACTTGACATAGATTGGATATAAATATAACATAGACCAGATAGAGGCTTGACACAGACTGGATATGACAGAAGTAATGAGAACTAGCTGGGAAAGTAGACTGAACGGATGAAAGGATCATGCTGTACTTACGATCCTGGCAAGTGTTGGACAATATTACAGTTACACTTCAGCCAGTCACTGTTGTAAAGATAGCAGTTGATCTGATTTGAGAAACTAACAGGTGTAGAGCAACAAATCATAGGACCAGTGACCAATATCAGAAGAATTAATGCAACAAATATCAGAGGAGTTAAAGCAAACGACAGCTAAATTTCCTGTCTACTATAAAAGAAATATTACTATAAAAGTGATAGAGGGAAAAACAAACAAAAAGAAATACAAATCAACAGAGTTATTACAAAATATATACACATACACACAGATAAAATGTGCTTAAATAACAAACAAGTTGATTAAACTTAGAATAAATGGTGGGTGTATGTGTGAACAAAATCAAATAATTTATTTCTGTAAAATACAAGCGCTGTCAAACAAGACCAGTTATATAAATGGGAAGAATAGGTTCTGTGAAGAAAGAGACTAAAAAAAATAATAAGGGCACAGACATGTTTAAAAAAACTGGTTAAACACGTAATTATGTATACAGCAACTGACTCAGCATCCTGATCTACAGGGAACATAAAGATAGACGATCAATGGATATATTATAATTAACTTTGATATTACCACACTAGACCATAATTATGTGGTACCTACCGGTTAGTGGCAGTGGTCTGCCCACAGAGTGAAGACATTTGACAAAGTTGTCATTGCCCAAAGTCTGTAGAACATTGCTGCCCATACGTGTCATAGTTCGCATACTGGCAACAACATAGGCGGAGTCTGTGAGCTGGATGCCTATTTTGGAGAGAGGAGAGCCAACAGGGCCCATGCTAAATGGGATCACAAACATGGTTCGTCCTGATGGGCGGAGAAAACAAGAGACAACGGTTAATTAAGGGAAATAACTGTGCAAAAAAATATCATCATCATCAGGTGCCTTTCCGACTGGCGTGGGTGATCATGCCTTTCCACAATCTGTGATCTCCTGCAGCATGTATCAGTTTGTGTGCCGACACGCCTCCATGCAATGCAACAAGACTGTCAAGAATCTTCTCTCGTTGTCTTCCTCTATCCCTCCTTCCACAGATCTTTCTGGTGGTCATAACATGTTCTATTTTCCTTCTCATAACATGGCTGAAAAATGATGACTGTCTCCGTCTGATGTCTGTGATAAGTTGTCTTCTGGCTCCCGCCTCTTTCAAAGTCTCTTGGTTGCTCTTTTTGGCTGTCCAAGGTATTCTAAGCATTCTTCTGTAAAACCACATCTCTGAGGCCTTTCAAGAAACTGTTTGCCTGCCTACTGATTGTCCAGGATTCACAGCCATATGTTAAAACTGGATGTATGAAGCAAGCAAGAATTCTTTTTCCAACTCTCAATGACAAGGATATATTGCACAAGGGGCTATCCTCGGAATAACGGGCACAAAAGATGGCGGCCAAAAAATAGGGCCTCAGTCATGTGTCAATTGCGCACTTCCGGCGACCTAATCTGAGGTTTTCCGGCGACTACCGCCACCGCATAGAGTATCCCCCATGCTGCTCACGCGGCGTGGATTGGGGCTAAACTAGATGGCTAGAATTCATGAGCAAAGCTGCAGGAGATGCTGAAGCTGCTGCTCGTGAGTCCCAGCCATCTAGTTTAGCCCCAATCCACGCCGCTCACGCGGCGTGGGGGATACTCTCAACGGTGGCAGTAGTCGCCAGAAAACCGCAAATTAAGTCGCCGGAAGTGTGCAATTGACACGTGACTGCGGCTCTGTTAAGGTGTTTTTGCGGCCGCTATCTTTTGTGCCTGTTATTCGGAGGATAGCCGCACAAGATGTTCTTCATTTTATAAAATGCAGTTTTTGCAGTAATTTCTGTGCAGTAATGCATCTTCCATCTGATGTTATCCATGTGCCCAGATACTTAAATTTCTGTACTTGTCCCAAAATAACACCATCAACTTTTATTACACACTTAGGAATAATTCGTTTCTTTGATACCACCTTTACTTCTGTCTTCCCATTATTAAAACTGATGCCCATTCTTCCACTTTCTAATACCACAATGTCTATCATTTCCTGTAATTCTTTCTGACTTGTTGCTATCAAGACTGTGTCATCAGCATAACGTAAATTGTTTATATTGTGCCCACCAACCACAATTCCGGGCATACCAATTAAAGATCTCATTATATATTCACTGTATATTATAAACAAATCAGGTGACAGTACACATCCTTGTCGCACGTCCCTCTTTGTGCTTTGAAATGTATCTAAACAGTTGATAATTCTTATAGCTGCTGTTTGCTGCCAATACATATTCTTTATTATTCGTAGATCTTTCCCATCAATGTTTAATTTTTCTAACAGTTTGATTACTTCTTCATGCTTCACACAGTCAAATGCTTTTGTATAGTCTATGAAGCATATGTACAAATCAGTCTTTACTTCTATAGCTCTTTCTGACAATGTCCTTAGGATGTATATGGCATTGTTTGTACCTTTTCCTTCTACAAATCCACATTGTTCATTGCTGATTTCTGGTTTAATTTTGTTTCTTAGTCTTCTCATAATTAAAGTAAAATCTTAGTCATGTGACTCATAAGACTTATTGTACGATGGTCTTCACATTTCACAGTGCCTGGTTTCTTTGGCAGAGCTATAAATATGGATTATTTTAAAAAGTCATTTGGAATATACCCACTACTATAAATAACATTTAAAAGTTTAGTTATTATTTCAATTTCAGAATCTCCCAGTGCTTGGATTGACTGACTGGCTGACTTTCTACCCCACCAGGACATCATACAAGCGATAAACACCCGATGACACAATGCGCCACCATGTGGATGAAGATCACTGTGGAGAGGTCCCAGAAACCGTGTTCAGCCATTAGGCCATATTTATTACCGGGCTATATTGCGGCCCCTGGCATGAGCCAGAGTAGGGCTTCAAATAACGAAAAATTGCATCCTAAAAAGGATGGCAAGATTAGAGTGCATCGATTTCTTCCAGTGAGATGTTGTCTGCTTTTCCTTTCTTCATATAATGTAATGCATCCTGAACTTCTGCAGTCATTATTGGTGGACCAGCATTGTTGGTCTGCAGTTCTACATATGGTCTATTATCATCATACAATTGTAACAACAACAACAACAACATCAAAAATGTAAGGCTGTTGCTCCAAGATCACTATTCCATGCTTTATACCCGTTGTAACGTTTTAGTGTGGCTCGCTGTGGCAGATAGCACCAGGGCATTCTTGTTAGGTGTCCAAACCATTTTTTTTTTTCACCTGTAAGACTGGCTTTATTCCTAGCATCCTAACTTTGACTATTAAATATATAAGTGTGGGTGTATGAGTGCGTGAGTGAGTAAGTGAGTGTTTGTGTGTGTGTGTGTGAGAGAGAGAGAGAGAGAGAGAGGGGGGGGGGATGTTATTACTGATAATAATGATGACCATGCTGATGATGATGACAACGAAGATGGAAAATGACAGCTCACCTTTCATGCAGTCAGGAAACCTCATGTTCAGTTCATTGTCCATATCCTCTGGAGCCATCCAGTTGCCCAGTTGGCTTTTAGCCCCATATTTCGGGGTTGGAACCGTGTCTCTCTGGAGCTCAGTGGAAATATAGGTTAGCCGCTCCACGCGAGCAACATCGGCGGGGTCGGTTCTGGCCAGCCAACTGTAGAATGTCACAGTTTTGTTAGAGAAACTTTGGGGGGGGGGGGTGTTGGCGGCCTTCCCTTGCCCCCCCCCCCCCCCTAAAAGAGACTCCTATGACCATGTATATGAATTCTCATTTAAAGTTTATACAGAGTCCAGATAAAATGTATTCACAGTAGTTGTCCCCCGAAGAGTGTATCGACACATTTGTGGTCCTTGAATAGGTTATGGTAGCTTGTGTTGCCTCAGATGTAAACTGAAACCTATGCCTGACACTAGCTTAGTTCGGACACGAAAAGAGTTAGTTACAAGTGATAGTGCAGTTCCTACGGGTGTCTGTGTGCGGCACATAGGGCAGACAGGTCATAACTAATACAAAACGTAGCTACCGCAGTTCGATAAAAATATGGCGAAATATGTGATGACGTTTTTAAACAAATAGTCTTTATGACAATGTGTATGCATTTCATTTATGGCCTATTACTGTGCATTCGAGCCTTCCCTGCTTTTTGATTTTTCAAACGTATTTTCATCTCCGAGGTGGGGGAGCTGGTTTCCCGAAAGGTGTCTCCACCTTGCCGAGGTGGGGGAGCTTGTGTTTCTCAATGACTGAAAGCTATGCCGACGTAGCTACCAGTAGGGAATTCCAGAGAAATTTGACTGAAAAGCTCAACAAAATCTTGAAAAAGGCTGCCCGGTTGAAACGTTACGTTGTGTTGTTTTGTGCAAGTTTTTCTGCTTCCCCATTTTGTTGAGCTTTTTAGTCAAATTTCTCTGGAATTGCTTGTATTAGCTTGACTGCAGTCACCCCCATATTTCTACCAGTAGGGTCTCCCAGCCAGAAAGGTCAAAGGGTATAGAACAGACATCGAGAGACACCCTGGTCCTTCAGGTTGAGGGGTGAAGCGTGGGGCCGACACTCCCAACTTCGCAAAACTTTATCTAGTCACGAAACAGATATCTAAGCCTCGATTTTGGAGGGATTTAAACGGACAACGAACCTGGAACGTTAAAGGACTTTCGAGAATTGGACACTTGGTGTCACCAACTGGAAAGACAGTGTGCTATTCAGCAGATTATTATTAGTGTGCTCTTAAACTGGATTATGCTCCTTGAACTTCCCCTTCACGTTTTGTCTAGAAAGTTAATTAGGCAGGGAAAGAAGCACTAAGCACACCTCCCCTTTTTCATGTTTTCTTTGTGTGGACTCGCCTGTTGCTGCTGCTGAAGCAGAAGCAACAGGCGAGTCCACACAAAGAAAACTATGTTGCTTCTGCTTCAGCAGCAGCAACAACAACAACTACCCCCACCCACCAGCACTACTACTACTACTACTACTACTACTACTACTACTACTACTACTACTCTACTACTACAACTACTACTACTACTACTACTACTACTACTATTACTACTTCTTCTTCTACTACTACTACTACTACTACTACTACTACTACTACCACTACTATTACTACTAATACTACTACTAATACTACTACTACTACTACTACTACTACTACTACTACTACTACTACTACTACTACTACTACTACTATCACTACTACTACTACTATCACTACTACTACTATCACTACTACTACTATCACTACTACTACTATCACTACTACTACTATCACTACTACTACTGCTGCTGCTGCTACTACTACTAGTGCTGCTACTACTACTACTACTACTTCTACTACTACTACTACTACTGCTGCTGCTGTTACTGCTGCTGCTGCTGCTGCTACTACTACTACTACTACTACTATTACTACTACTTCTTCTTCTATAACTACTGCTACGCCTAATGTTGCGACTACTATCTACTATTGTTGGCTGTTTGTTTATTGGTTCTATATAGTGGGTCCCCCCCCCCCCCAATCTATGTTTCCTTTACTATCCTTTCCTCTCACGTTTACTACTTCGTGCAGTCCCGAGGGCCAGTTACAAACAACTCCCACTTGACTCGGTGCCCAGGCAGGTCAGGTTTCGTAATCTGACATATTTCTCCTCGCCCAGCGATCTTGGCCCAAATTCGGCCAAGTAGTCAGCAATAAAACACGGCTGTTTTGTTTCATGTCTAAAACCCCAGGTATCACTTTTTTAATTACCGCAAACTAACATCAAATGAATACCAGGTGAGATATGTTCTCACAGGTTAGATAATGTCGCCCAAGTTAAAATAGTCAAGTCATTATCATCGTCATCTTGTGCCTCGCACAAGTTCTCAGATCTCTCTCTTGTATCATAGCTAACACAACAGACTTCGTCAATATTTGTTCAGATATGTTTCAGTGTAGGAAACACGGAGACGTGTCCCTACAACCTGACACCCGAAAATGCTGCGCATGCGCTCCAACAATATCAACTGTATGCTGGCAACGCCGGCGTCTGTAGCTTAAGCATTGCGAACGCGATTCGTAATGCCGGGATACCGCGTTCGATCCCAGCTGCGGACCGTGCGCCTTGCTTTGGTTTTGAAAGTGGTATCCAGAAGCCGACCGTCCGGGAGCAATGGCAAACTACTGGACGTAAATTTGCCTAGAAAAACCACAACAGCCAAAAATTGCTGGTTGGGTTCTGCAACGTCCTGTAAAGGATACGCATCTAACACGCTGACAACAGAGACGCAATCTGGCCTGTTCCATCCACAATGAAGACAGAACTGTACGCTGACAACAGAGACGCAATCTGGCCTGTTCCATCCACAATGAAGACAAAACTGTATGCTGACAACAGAGACGCAATCTGGCCTGTTCCATCCACAATGAAGACAGAACTGTATGCTGACAACAGAGACGCAATCTGGCCTGTTCCATCCACAATGAAGACAAAACTGTATGCTGACAACAGAGACGCAATCTGGCCTGTTCCATCCACAATGAAGACAGAACTGTATGCTGACAACAGAGACGCAATCTGGCCTGTTCCATCCACAATGAAGACAGAACTGTATGCTGACAACAGAGACGCAATCTGGCCTGTTCCATCCACAATGAAGACAGAACTGTATGCTGACAACAGAGACGCAATCTGGCCTGTTCCATCCACAATGAAGACAGAACTGTATGCTGACAACAGAGACGCAATCTGGCCTGTTCCATCCACAATGAAGACAAAACTGTACGCTGACAACAGAGACGCAATCTGGCCTGTTCCATCCACAATGAAGACAAAACTGTACGCTGACAACAGAGACGCAATCTGGCCTGTTCCATCCACAATGAAGACAGAACTGTATGCTGACAACAGAGACGCAATCTGGCCTGTTCCATCCACAATGAAGACAAAACTGTATGCTGACAACAGAGACGCAATCTGGCCTGTTCCATCCACAATGAAGACAAAACTGTATGCTGACAACAGAGACGCAATCTGGCCTGTTCCATCCACAATGAAGACAAAACTGTATGCTGACAACAGAGACGCAATCTGGCCTGTTCCATCCACAATGAAGACAAAACTGTATGCTGACAACAGAGACGCAATCTGGCCTGTTCCATCCACAATGAAGACAAAGCTGTATGCTGACAACAGAGACGCAATCTGGCCTGTTCCATCCACAATGAAGACAAAACTGTACGCTGACAACAGAGACGCAATCTGGCCTGTTCCATCCACAATGAAGACAAAACTGTATGCTGACAACAGAGACGCAATCTGGCCTGTTCCATCCACAATGAAGACAAAACTGTATGCTGACAACAGAGACGCAATCTGGCCTGTTCCATCCACAATGAAGACAAAACTGTATGCTGACAACAGAGACGCAATCTGGCCTGTTCCATCCACAATGAAGACAAAACTGTATGCTGACAACAGAGACGCAATCTGGCCTGTTCCATCCACAATGAAGACAAAACTGTATGCTGACAACAGAGACGCAATCTGGCCTGTTCCATCCACAATGAAGACAAAACTGTATGCTGACAACAGAGACGCAATCTGGCCTGTTCCATCCACAATGAAGACAAAACTGTATGCTGACAACAGAGACGCAATCTGGCCTGTTCCATCCACAATGAAGACAAAACTGTATGCTGACAACAGAGACGCAATCTGGCCTGTTCCATCCACAATGAAGACAAAACTGTATGCTGACAACAGAGACGCAATCTGGCCTGTTCCATCCACAATGAAGACAAAAACTGTATGCTGACAACAGAGACGCAATCTGGCCTGTTCCATCCACAATGAAGACAAAACTGTATGCTGACAACAGAGACGCAATCTGGCCTGTTCCATCCACAATGAAGACAAAACTGCATGCTGACAACAGAGACGCAATCTGGCCTGTTCCATCCACAATGAAGACAAAGCTGTATGCTGACAACAGAGACGCAATCTGGCCTGTTCCATCCACAATGAAGACAAAGCTGTATGGTACACGAGAGGATGTGGACTGCACCGTAGCTTTCATAAAGGCTATCGGCCTCCTGATATAAGTTTTCTGACAAAAGGATCGAAGAAGAACAAGACAGGATACAAGAATAATGTCGCTTTTTCATAGTGATGACTAAATTCTAAGTACACTGGCGATTCTCCGACATTTGCTGCCAGTTACTCAGGCAGTCACCAGTATTCTAGCAGAAGCTCGAGGCTCAGAGGAAAGGCAGGACAGACGTTTAATCAGAAAGCTACTGGCACCATTAGTATCGGAACTCTTGAAGATGGGGACGGGGCGCTTATGGGAATGCCCCGAGTGCTGTGATGGCGGTTCTTGAACCAAATCAAATCAAATCACCAGTATTCTCAAAAACCACGTCTCCGCTGTCTTTTAATTGGTTCCAAGATGAATTGCCAGACAGAGCGCACAGACTATCTGGCACTGTCGGTCTGAGGGTCAATACCACACTTAAGTTAATCAAAACTGCAGATAGTGTACAATGTCAGAAAACAATTACAGTGTTTATACAGCATTCGACTTCTTATCTTTGGTGCACTCACAATGCGCAGACAACAGGTAGCCTTGCGTCCGCTGTTACATTCGGTTGTTACGCTGAAATCGTTCAGCGCCAGGTTTGTGACCGTCACCCATCCCCCACCCCTAAGCCCCCAAATCACCTTCTTTTCTCTCCAGATCTCTGCCATCGAGGAGTGTATTACCGTACGCTTTACATTTGGTCAGAGCATGCTAGAGAAACCTGGCTGACCCAGTGGCCACCGTCAGTGTGGCACTATAGTAACAACAAGGATTGTAACATCATGGATGTTTGAACAGATAGATATTCACGGGGGTCCCAGCTTTAGCTGGGCTCTCATCCATTGACGCCTATACCCAGGAATCAAGTAGACAATGCTGGTATGAAAGAATGCATCCCTTGTTTCACAAGATAATATTTACCCTAGGCAGCCTTCCGAAGCGTTGTTTTGGCACTTTCTGTCAAATTCGTACCACTTCAAGTAACTTGTGGAATGTTTGGATTTCAGAGAAGGACAAGGAACGAAAGAAGGCACTGACAGACAATATCCAGCAATCGACAGGTGAGAGAGCTTAGCCCCTCCCGCTCGCCCATTTTTTTTTTTGGGGGGGGGGAGGGTTTTCCAGGTGCCCCAGCCCCCAGGTTTTCGAAAATAAGAGGGCAGTGAAAACAACTGAGACAGCGGGAAGGACAAGCAGGAAAGTGGAATGCTGAGAGAGATGGAGGAGCCATATGTGAAACAGACTATATCATAGGACAAAAATAATCAACTCCGCTACGACTAAGAAGTTTAACGGCGGTTGAGGTGGGGGGGGGGGGTAGATACACAGGAACACCAGATTTTTCGGCAGCAGCCTTTATCGACAAAAACCACAACAAAAAGGGGAGCTTTTTCTGGCTAACATGTAGATAGCGAATCAACTAAAAATTTAAAAGGAAAAAAAAATAATGCTTAACGACTCAAATTAAAATGAAAACCTAAAGGAACGACAATATTCGTAGTAATACTAGTTACCGTTAAACTTCAGTGGACTATTTACCGTTAAGCTTCTTAGCGACTGTTTGGATTAATTTCTGACAAAAACTTCTAGCGACAATTGATTATTTTCTAGATACCAGTCAGACTTGAGTGATTCTTGTTTTCAAACACTGTTGAAGGTCCCTTTCTCAGTCTGGTCAGGTCCTTCTGTATATAGAGAAGGCCGTGGTCTGATTTAGGTCAGACGTGGTACCTAGGCTTAGATTGTAGGTAGGGGGGGGGGGAGGCGTTTGGGTTAGAGTCAGTTCTAGATGTTTTCAGGTCGTTAAAATATGTGTGGTCTTGTAGTAAAGAACACGCGACATCAGCGCTGATGTAACTGGGGGCAAGACAACGTGACACCCCTCTGATGTAGAACAGGCTGAGAAAGCATGAATGAAAGGTCAGACAGTGTGGAGATGGGCTAGGAAATGTGAACAGGACACTTTTGATCAAGAGACAGCGGAAGAGACGAAAGAACTGGAGCAGAGAGACAGAAAAAGAAAACAAATTACCAGTTCTCAAACTTGGGCAGCATCTTCAGAATGCCATCCTTCTGTAGAATGTAGGTCAGTAGTTCGTACTCACGATCAGAACCATCGCAGATGTGAACTGTGTCCGGCTTACAGAGGCGAACGTTCTCATCCACATAGTGGCGAACCTTGTTGGGTAGCTGGCTGACATCGCCATAGATGACCCGGTAGTCTCTCCTCTGTGTGAGGTCACTGGCTGATGACAAGCAGGTGGCTTGTTTGATCAGAGACGGGCTTCGTGTCAGCGATGTTCCTTTCAGCAGTCGAGAGGACGCTCTGCAAGAGAGAGAGGGAAAGCGGTGATTGCAGTAATAACTTTAGAAGCCGTATAAGCAGCGGCAGCTACAGTATTTGTTGTCAAAGTAAAGGTCCCCTTTCCACGCCTTTAGGCATATAGGACTAGACCTTTATTTTTATAAAGCAATCGGCACAAGATGGGTGATGTGGTCAGCATCACGCCGGCTGCCTTTACTTCCCGGAACTGCACCCAGTACCCACTCAAGGCTGGGTCGACCTGAGAGTCAAGGTCATTTTTTGCAACAACAACAAAAGTATTTGTTGTAGCAACGGTATTGAGAACAAAAATTTTGAGAGAGTGAAGGGGGTGGTCTCAGTGGCACATCTTGTCACAGCTAGTTCTTGTTCATAGTTGTTAAAGAGTATATGATCCTGTAAGTCAGTTAAGGATAATTCTGTATCTTCGAAATACAATTATATCTGAATACTGATACAATTCTTATTCCTCCTGTCTTCCACCTCCTGCGCCTATTCGATTATTCTTACGACTGCTACTACTGCAGATTTATTTCACAGCAATATATAAATGAATCCGATTATCCACGTCGATCGGATATATATCGGATATACGGGGCTGGTCTGCCAGTGACAAAGTGCATGTTTAGACACAGATGTCTGCAGGTGACACAAATCAGACACGTGGCAGACAGACAGTCAGGCAGACGTGACGCAGTAGATGTGGACAGACAGAACTACAGGGTAGGGGCCAGGAAGATCTCCACCACATCACCTGGTACAGGTGTAGCACAAAACATTGAACACGTCACAATACGCGGGAAAGTGTCTGTTCCTGTACACAGGGTATGGACTACCAGAATTAGAACTATAAATCTACTGACATGGCAAATGTCTTTTTATTTATTGTGATTTTCAAAATGATTTCATTCCAAGTTTGTTGATCACTTTAAGCCGTGTTTAACTGCTTAGTCTGTGTAGTTAGTTGGGTTACTTGCCCTTTAAGTTCCTGTGCTGTTTAGCCAATAAAACGGCCTCTTGGTGTACCTTATGTGGTATATTGATTTTCACCTAATACTCTCTCTCTCTCTCTCTCTCTCTCTCTCTCTCTCTCTCTCTCTCTCTCTCTCTCTCTCTCTCTCTATTTCTCTATGTGGGGTGTGTTGCCAGCGCGCGTGCCATTTAGTTTCAATATTTCTCCCTAGTATTTGTCGTCGCCAGCTAAGGTCGAAGGATCGATCATTCCGATGGTTTACAATACCACGCTGACGTCATCGGTGATCACTTAAAAAAAAGATAATTAGTGAACACAAACACCAGTAAACAGTTATCTTCTCGTCACATTTCTGTGTATGTTATCTCGTCACTTTTTTCTGTAATCTCCTCGTCACACCTGTCCGTCTGTTATCTCCTCGTCACATTCGTCTGTCTGTGATCTCCTCTTCACATTCGTCCGTCTGTGATCTCCTCTTCACATTTGTCTGTCTGTTAACTTTTCGTCACATCTGCCTGTCTGTTATATCCTGTTAACATGTGCCTGACTCTAATCTCCCAGTGTTTACCCTCCTGTCGTAGTCATCACAGACTCTAAACAGTGGCCTCTGACGGTGAATCTATGTCGTCTCTAAACAGTGGCATTTGACGGCGAATCTATGTCGTTGACGTCACAGACTCTAAACAGTGGCATTTGACGGCGAATCTATGTCGTTGACATCACAGATGTCTAAACAGTGGCATTTGACGGCGAATCTATGTTGCTGACATCACAGATGTCTAAACAGTGGCATTTGACGGCAAATCTATGTCGTTGACATCACAGATGTCTAAACAGTGGCATTTGACGGCGAATCTATGTCGCTGACATCACGGATGTCTAAACAGTGGCATTTGACGGCGAATCTATGTCGCTGACACCACAGACTCTAAACAATGGCCTCTGACGTGAATCTATGTGGCTGACATCACAGACGTCTAAACAATGGCCCTTAATGGTGAATCTATGTCGTTGACATCATAGATATGACACTGCTACCCACCCTCATCTCACGCCACTATCTATAGAATGGTGACAATTGCTAGGAAAACTTTCAAATGGCACAATAAATAAACACATATTGATTGGCACTCATAGATGTAGAGTAACGAAGCAGACATTAAAAGAGTCATTAGACAAAAGAGTGGCTGTGAAAAGAATGTTTGTAGTTAAGCCTAATGGATGCAATCCTTTTCTACACTCACCCCTCAAAATAAAGTATTTTATCTATTTTTTTTAACGTTAATGGGTTAGTTTTACGTTAGTCTTCCCAAACAAAGTAGGTCGCGTTTCATTGACAAGTTTGTTATTCTGGTCTACTTTCCACCAGGTTACGAGTGTGCCGCACTGTTGTTTGCTTTCTGAGTTGTCAGGCATTTACGTTTTTTCTTCCGAGAAAGAGAATGCATATGATATAGGTTGCAGCACTCTCTAGGGGGGGGGGGGGGATTGTGTTAGTCCCAGTTTGTCCATGTTTTAGGAGTGTTAAGCGCTGGCGTGCTGAAGTATACATCACGCGATATCAACAGCATTGCGAAAAAAAAAACCGTAACCTTGTGCCAAGGACACCAATCTGAAGTGAGCTAGTGTGTAACACTGTGTAAATTGCGGGGAGGGGGGAAAGGGGGGGGGGGGGGTGACTATTGTTAGTTTTACCTGTTTCTGGTATTCTCTTTGAAGAACTCAGAATGAAGTACGGGTCTGACGTCACGATCCGTCCAGCATACCAGATTTATGAACATATGAGGACAGGAAATACCCACCCGGTAGTTTGGAACGACCACGAGGTTAGTGTACAAGGGACGGTTGTACAACAAGAGTTCTAGGAAGGTGGAGAACAAACAAGTCTATGACCTCGGACGGTGAATACACAGAGAAGGACTCCAGTTCTCCCCCATTTTCAGTTACGTTTCCTGGCTCCAGTAAACTAAAGTGCGTGTGTCGCTGTGGTTCAGAAGTTAGTGAATGCGTCTAACAATGCCATGATCCTACAGTACTATTGTAAGATTCCCGCGAGGACGTTTTATTGACATTACGTAGCTTTCGGACTGTAATACAGCAGTGGCACCATGATAGAGATTGGGCCTTACTGCTGAAAATTGTCAGGGGCAGCAGCGAGTTAATGTGTAACCAACATTTATTGTAGAGACGGCACATAACAAGAATACTAAAGTGCAACACTTCATGACCTTCTCTCGCGCATGAACTGAAGGCCAGAGTGCTTATACAAGCAACTGAACCATCTCCGAACAACTATCGTGAGCTGTCGCATTTTGCTCCCTATATAATTTTGTTGTCAATATACTGTTTCAACAATGCACACATATTTCACTGAGACGTTTGGTTTATTTGATGCTAGCCGCCAACAGTAAACAACCAGGCCTTACTGAATGAACAGTTCAGGTCACAGCGACGGGGGGTTCCCCTTTATTCTTCATAGATGGATGACTCTGTTACAGTTACACTGCGTGAGTAAAGGCCTATAGAAAACCTCTAGCCGGCCCATAACCTGATGGCTGAATCTGTAACAGGGTAATTATGTACTCTGACAATATTTAAAATTATTCCACTTTACCCTTGTCAATCTGCTGGCAATGAGGCTCAAATGCTGATTATGCAAACAAGACTGTCGCCAACTGGAAGGCGTGGCAGTGTTACACGTATACAATTTTATCAATGAAGACAAGAAAACGAAGAAACAGCGACAAGTTAATGTTACCTTGCTATTCTTGCCAGCCAAACCATGTTTGATAATCTACACGACTGAAAGCACACATACAGAAATCACACAAGAGCTACCACGGAAAAATGCCCGCTTTCATTCATGAGGAGGCAAAACTCGGCCTCGCTTCTCGTTAGTTGCTCCAGGATTAGACCCCGCGCAATAATACAACTGTTATAAGCATTTTAGTAGTCCTTTAGTATTTAATCTACTAAGTCTGTAAACAAACTTATACAAATTTGCTGAAATTTGTTTTATGTAGCATGAAAATTGTTATTTTGAAAGGAAACCGGATTCAAAATTATAAATATTTTTTTAATTTGTTTTTGTTTTTCCACCGCGGAAGATTCAAAAGTCTGGAAAGAAGTGACTTGACCCGAGGCGGGGGCCGGGGATTCCCGCGTGCTGCAATATTTTATCCTGTTTGATTGGCTGTTGTGTCGGGGTCACCCAGATGTTGGGACCGGTGGTATGTCCGGCTGTTACACGTGCGGGAGAACATCAAACACCGACACCTAACGTTGACTTCAAATATGACCCTACCCTGTCTGGGCTTGAGGTTACATTCTAACCGTCATGGGCTCCAATATAACCTAGCGGTTGTACCTCATTTCTGGAATTCTCATTCGTATAGTGACGCTTTGCGCCACCAGGTGGGAGTCACCGCTCAGTGTGCGGTTCAACTTCACACACCAAGATATCTATGTGCCGTGCCGGTGTCCGTGGGCGGTCATGGCTGGTCGTTTGAAACAGGTAGTCTGCCTGATGCATGCTAAATTGGTCCCCTATGTATATCTACCTGTCTCTGTTTTTGCTCTTTCATGACCATCGGGACATTAAACCCTTACAGACCTGTGCTCATCGGGAAGGAGTGATGTGGTTGATGAAAAGATATGTAGACAGGTAGACAGGTATCTATAGATAAAGAGGCTCGACTGCATTTACCAGTTTCTATTCCACATGGCTCGGTCTCTCCAAAGAATGGCTAGCCGCCTGCCGAGAGCGTGGTACAAAGAATGAACTCGGTAACTCAGACAACGAACCCTAGGGATCTGCGTAACTGCATTCGTGATCTAAACGACATGACCGTGACACGAAGTCACCACCTTCAGTCGGACACAGCGAAGACTTACTTTTGCTCCAAACCCTCGTTTTCATTCCCGCTAATCACTGGCATGGTGTCTATCTACAGTCATAACCACCAGAATAGGTCTTCAGTGTAGAACATTGTCAACGACACAAACCTAGTTCCATATCATTCAAGCAA